ACACCTTCCTCCACGCCTGTGTCTGTCCGTGCGTGTCGATGCTCATGTGGCGGCAAAGTCGTACAACGCATACACCTGCTGCGCCCGAAGAAACGTCATGTGCGCAGAGTCCACCTGCGTGTGTGAATGAATGAATGTGTGTGTTGGTGTGAAGAATTGAATCGGCATGAGTAAAGAAGATCACGAGGTCCTACCCTCCACCTTCTCTTCCTCTCCCACCGCTTTCGCCGCCTCCTCCTTATTGCCTCCAGTTCGCCTGATTGCCTGCAAGCACAAATGCGCCCTCACCAGGTCCTGGAAGATGTGTGCGCGGGCGGCGGGGATGTGCCGCTGGATGTTCTTGACGGCGGCAAACGCTTCGCCAAACGTGGCGTTCATCGCAGCGAGCAGCGGTCGGACCTGTCGTTTGAGGGAGAGGGGGGCGATGATGATGATGGAGGAGGACAGGTTGGCACGGCGACCATGGAAGGAAGCAGGGAGCTCACAAGGAATGTAATAGGAGTACATGCACAAGCACATGTTAATACACAACACAACATAACACAACACAACACAACACAACACAACACAACACAACACAACACAACACAACGCAACACAACACGCGTACACAACACAACACACCACCTCCTCCCTGCTGTCCTGACCTCTGTCCAGTAATTGGGCTGCATATCCAGACGGGCGGCGTTGAAGTCCAGTTTGTTCGGCTGCGTTGCGTCATTCGGCACCGCCCACGACGACAGATCCGCCATCGCGTCCCACCCTTGGATGTATGCCTGCAGGCATTGTTGCGAAAATCGAGAGAGTGCAGGTAGCAGGGGCAGCAGGGGCAAGCAGGAGTTAGGGGTTTGCGGGACAGCAGCACGACATGACGCAACGTAAAGCAAGTGTGACAATCCACACCTGTCCGTTGCGCTTTGCATATGCGGTGTCCTGCGTTGGAAGCGGCGCAGACTTGTTCCAGTGACCGAGAACTGTTGGAAGAGGAGGGGCGGGGGCGGGTGAAGATGGATGAAGAATAGAAGGGAGCCAGTTGCAGTGAGTAAACTGGTTCAGCAGACACACAAGTACACACACACACACACACAAACAAACACACACAAACACGCACACATGCACCGCACGCTTACCGAGGAGGCGGTGCTGCTGCTGTGCGTATGTGAGGAGCCAGTCCCTGACCATCGGCCCGGCGGTGGCGCCAAAGGCGGCGGCGATTCGACCAAAGAGAACAGACAGCGCAGACACGTCCGTATCACACCCGTCGTCGTCTGGATTCACAGGTGTGTGTGTGTGTGTGTGTTTGTTTTGTGTGTGTGTGTGTGTGTGTGTGTGTGTGTGTTTGTGTTTGTGTGTGTGTGTGTTTGTGTATGTGTGTGTTTGTGTGTGTGTGTGTGTGTGTTTGTGTGAGTCTCATCATGAGACATGCACAAACGCACAGCTAGAGTCCCGCTCGCTCCATTCTAGCCACTCATACACCACACCACCACCGCCACCACCACTCACACACCACCATCAACCGCAACCCTCCTTCCTCTCCACTCACCGCCACAGACGTCCCAGAACATGTCGGCAGTTGCCACGTCCTGCACCCAATATGACCATTCCCACCCGGAATCAAAGTTCATGTGCCCGTCCAACCGCACGCGTTTTCCACTATCACCATCATCATGAGCATCACCAACGCCATCACCATCAGCATCAGCACCACCACCACCAATGCCATCGCCGGCATTGTGAACACGTTCAGCGGCAGCCGCTGCAGTTGTTCTGTTGTGCTCCTCGCTCTTGATGCGTCGCAGGTCCCTGACGCGACCGAGTGCGTACAGCGGAAGAAACAGCGGCACATCCACATCAAAGTTGACCCAGTATGCCGTCTCGGGGTGGTACACCACCTCCCGCGCCTTGCCCAGCTGCCGGAACATAAAGTCGAACATGCCCGTGAAGTTGGCGTTGCCGTATGTGTTGGCCGGGTCGTCGTGGCTGTAGAACTGCACCGTGTGCGGCATAATCCCCATGCGCTCGTCGGCGAGGATGGGCAGGTAGTTGAAGTTGAGTGGCTTCCCCGTGTCGGGGTCCACGTAGTGCTTGCAGTACTGCCCGCTGGAGATGTGGCACTTGATGTACGCGCCCATGTCCACGCCGCTCGCGGCCTCTGTGGTCACGTTGATCCAGTGCAGCATGAGCTTGTCGTTCGGGTGGGTGAACTCGCTCAGGCCGTTCTCCGTGCTGATGTAGTCAAAGCCGCACGCTGCCAGCCACCGCATGCGCTGGTGGATGGTCACGTCGCCCTCGGTTGTGTTGAGCAGGGCTGCTGGGTCGACCAGCGTCATGGCGTGCTGCTGCTCCTCCGCGATTGCCGCGTCCACGCCCGCGTGCGTCGCGTACGCGTGGCACAGCGATGTCAGGTTGCGGAAGCGGGCCTGCCGCTGCGCGCTGAAACCGTACCACGCCCAGTCCTTGGCAAACAGCGACAGCCACTCCACCCTTGTTGTGGTTGCGGTTGCGGTGGAGTCGAAGAGAGGGGGCGACAGCGTGTGAGAGAACATGAGAGATGGTCAGAGGGAGATGGGGGGCCACAGAAGGCGAGAGAACGTGAGAGAGCGTGAGACGCAAGAGGAGATGTGAGCAGATGCAGAGATCTCAACAACGGGTGTTGGTTGGCATGTTCAAGTTCCAACCGCACACACGCGCATGCTGTACCTGTTGAGGCGGTGTGCAACGCTCCATTGGAGGTAGCGCTCAAAGTCTGGAACCATGTCTTCCCACTTCTCGACGACCGTACCGTTGATGGTGATGTCAAAGCCGGTGAGCATGTCCGTGAGCTCGAGCGGGTGCTCCGTGTGGATGTGGAAGCCGCGCAGGCGCCAGCGCGGCTCGCTCGTGGTGTTCTTGACGCGAGCAAGGTCCAACGCCCCGTTAACGGGCTTCTCCACGCGCAGTGGGTGCAGGAACGCAAACCCAAGCTGCTGCAGGGCGTCGTAGCAGGCATAGACAGAGCCACGCCCAAGCATGTGCTTGTAGTGCGGATCAAACTGGAGCTTTGAGGGCGCGCGACCCCGCGCAACGACGAGGGTCGCGTTGTCGGCCTGCCGCACCGCGCGCACAATGTAGCCCTCTGGTTCAAGCGCAGCCACCTCATGATCTGGCACGACGGAACGCGCGTGCGTCGTGTTCCCGCACACGAGCGTGCTTGCTGCGCCGGCGTTTGTGCTTGCACTGAGCATCGTGACATCCACATCGCCCACGCTTTTCAGCAGTGCCGCCACGGCCGCCTGCACATGGCTGGAGATCTCATCGCCAAACTGCACCTTCACCTTGGTCGTAGTCGCAGTAGCAGTAGCAGCAGTCGCAGCAGCAGTAGCAGCAGTCGCAGCAGCAGTAGCAGCAGTCGCAGCAGTGGGGGCTGTTGCAACAAGCAACAGCGCCGCCACCGCACACGGGCAAGCGGAGCAGCAGCAGTTGGATTGATTTCTTTGTGTTGTTGTTGTTGGCGATGATGACAACGATGCGATCAGCGTTACTGTGGTTGGCGTGCAGTGCTCTCGTGGTGGTGGTGGTGGTGGCGTGTGGAGTTTGTGTTGAGGGAGAAGAGCTGTGCGTGTCAACGGCAGGTGGTGTCAGGTCACTTGTGTTTGCGGTGGAGGATGCAGAGGTGCTTGCAGCAATCAGCGGGTTCACCGACACGACACCAGCGCACCCGGATCATGTGGAAGTGGGCGTGGATGTGGTTGCGGTCACGCCAAGTGCAGCACACGCGATGACATGCCGTGCTGGCCGCGCTGTCGTGCACCGCTTCATCTGTGCTCGGCACAACAAGGCGGAGGAGGCCGTGGCTGCGTTTCCGCTGGGCGCGTACGGCCACCTTGGACCAGCGTGCGTGCACATGACAGTGCACCGCACCAACGCCAGCGGTGTCTGCCAGCCGCGTCACGCTGCAACGCCCTGCCCCACCAACAGCGTTCCACTGCCGACACTGGCACAGCAGCGCTACCAACGCCACGAGATTGTTGGGGTCAGTGAGTGTTGGTGGATGTCAGTGTGTGGATGAGCGTTGGAGTGGGCTTGTACGTGTGTGTGTGTGTGTGTGTGTGTGTCTGTGTGTGTGTGTGTGTGTGTGTGTGTGTGTGTGTATGTGTGTGCCATCGTGGGAGTTGAGCTGCTTGTTGATGTGTGGCTCGTCCATCCATCCATCCGCTTTGAGTTGACTTGCCTGTGCACCACGGGCTTGGCAGTTGACGCACTTCAACATGGCGACGTTCGTGCACAACGGGGACCCGGCGTGCTCGTCGACCAACTGGAACCAAGGCGTCAACTGCTCCAACCCGGCCGTGTTCAACCCCGTCAAGCTGGACATTGACAACTGGATTGCTTCGTACAAGGCCCTTGGTGCCAAGCACGCCGTCCTCACCGCCAAGCATGGTTGCGGCTTCCTGGTGTGTATGTATGTGTATGTGTGTGTTTGAGTGTGTGTGTGTGTATGTGTGTGTGTGTGTGTGTGTGTGTCTATGTGTGTGTGTGTGTGTGTTTGAGTGTGTGTGTGTCTGTGTGTGTGTGTGTGTCTGTGTGTGTGTGTGTGTGTCTGTATGTCTATGTGTGTGTGTGTCTGTGTGTGTGTGTCTGTGTGTTTGAGTGTGGTTATGAAAGGAAAGCCCTCGTTGTGGTTGTGTTCCCTCACTGCTTTCACGCCTGCATCATCTTCAAATCCACCCCATGCCACAGCTCTGGAGCACCAACACCAGTCTTCCCAACGGTCGTCCGTATGGCTATGGGGTTCAACGGCCCAACGTACCCTCGTTCCCGCGCGATGTTGTGCTTGAGTTCAGCACAAAAATGCAGGCAGCTGGCCTTGGTCATGGCTTCTACTACTCCACGGGCAACAACTTCTACCTCAACCGCATCGACTTTAAGCCAGCAGGCGCCCTCTTGCCAGGACAGGTAGTGTGTGTGTGTGGGGGGGGGAGTGAGTGTATGGTGTGTGTGTGTGTGTGTGTCTGAGTGTATGGTGTGTATGTGTGTGTGTGTGTGTGTGTGTGCATCTGTGTGTGTGTGTGTGTGTGTGTGTGTGTGTGTGTACATCTGTGTGTGTGTCTGTGTCTGTACGCCAGCACTTTTCATGTATCGATGCTTGGCTCAGTCTTACACCTGTTGTGAACGGCCAAATCCCACAAAGGTAAATGTCACGGACAAGGAGTACAACACGCTCGTGTTCGAGCACGTGCGGGAGCTGTGGTCGCGGTACGGGAACCTGACGGAGATTTGGTTTGACCACGGCTATGCCGGCGACCAGAAGGCCGCGCTGCAACAGCTCCTGCAACAGTACCAGCCACATGCGGCAGGATTCAACGGCTACGTACGTGATCCTGTGTGCTTGTGTTGGGGAAGGGGTTCGTTGCGAGTAGCTGGCGTCGTTGTGAATGCGTGTGTTGTGTGTGTGTCTGTGTGTGTGTGTGTCTGTGTGTGTGTGTCTGTGTGTGTGTCTGTGTCTGTATCTGTGTCTGTATCTGTATCTGTATCTGTGTCTGTGTCTGTGTCTGTGTCTGTGTCTGTGTGTGCCTCCCCGTCTACCTGCCTGCCTGCCTGCCCACCTGTGACAGCGGTCAACGCCGCTCGAACCAACTGCGTGTTATCGCATGCTCTTGTCTCCCCTCTTCCCTCCCCCCCCCCTCTTCACATCTCTTCCCCCCTCTTCCCTTCTCTTCCCCCCCTCTTCCCCCCTCTTCACACCTCTCCAACCATGCCTCATCAGGGCATCATGCCCAGCCCCGTCAAGTGGTGCGGCACGGAGAGCGGAACGCCCCCGCGCGGTTTCTGGAGCACGGGGTGCGACGCGAGCTCGGGCAACCCAAACGCCACCAGCTACTGCCCAACCGGCGTCGACACAACGCTGCAGGACTTTGACACGTGGTTCTGGATGCCCGGCGTGCCCATCCGCTCGCTGGGCGCCATGATGGACGTGTACCACGCATCGGTCGGCAACAACGGCGTGCTTGAACTCGACTTTGCCATCAACAGAGACGGGCTCGTGGACGCGACGCACGCGGTGCTGTACAAGCAGCTTGGCGACTGGATCCGCGCGTGCTACGGCACTCCGCTCGCCAACGCGTCGGCGACAGGAACCACCGTGACCCTCACGTTCCAGCAGCCCGTGACGACGGACCGGTTCATGCTGCAGGAGGCGTTTGAGTCCGGGGAACGCGTGCGCACGTGGCGCATTGACGTGCAAGAGAAGAATCATCTGCAGCAAATGCGGCAACGGCATGAGGGAGGTGGACACGTGCAAGCGGAGGGTGCAAGGGAACCTAATAGCAGCAGCGAGGAGGAGGAGGAGGATGATGATGCTTGGAAGAGCGTTGCGTCAGGGACGGTGATTGGGTACAAGCAGATTGTGTTGCTGGACGGCGGGTCCACCACCATCACATCTGCCCGCCTCACGATCACCTCCGCTGCAATGACGCCCC